TTTTTTTTTCCCGCGTGCGTCCAAATTATTACATTTTTTTTATATACCCATACTACCCCTTTTTCCTATGTAGTTTCGTATATTCAGCTCACCTCACTATCTAACACATATAAAAGGAGATAGCTAGCTAGTGAGCTCATCAGTTAAGTGATCATAACTTATTCAAAACCATCAAACGGAAATTAAATCACAAAAAACAAACAAACGAAAATAAAAATGGTGAAGCCGGCTTCGGTCGACAGCAATGGCCTAAAACGGGGCGCGTGGAGCGAAGAAGAAGACAACAAATTAAGGGCTTACATTCAGAGGTATGGCCATTGGAACTGGAGATTGCTGCCCAAGTATGCCGGTTTGTCAAGATGTGGAAAGAGTTGCAGGCTGAGATGGGTCAACTATTTGAAGCCAGGGGTTAAAAGGGGAAACTTCACTAAGGAAGAAGAGGAACTCATCATTGAATTGCATGCCCAGCTTGGGAATAAGTAAGTTCATCATCAAATTCTGTTGATTAGGATTTGTCAAACGGTTAGACGGGTCGACTTATCGTGTTTTTTCGATATATATGGATAATGTACTTCAATATAACGTCGTTTTTCGAATACATCTGTGCGGTCATTTTTTCTTATGTTGTTTCCTAAAAGTATGATATTTTAGAGCTTAAATTACTAGATGTTCATTATTTCAATTGGACTAACATTTGTATTGTGTTGTATATCAATGCAGATGGTCAGCCATTGCAGCAAAGCTTCCCGGAAGAACCGATAACGAAATCAAGAACTTTTGGCACACGCGCATCGGGAAAACCCGGAAAAGCAGTCCACCGCCAGCTGAGAAGATCGACACTTGTCGACAAACCACGACCGAAACTTCCTATGATGAGGATCAAGATTTGAATGAAGACAAATGTCAAGAATATTCCACTTCCTTCGAAACGGGTGGAAATGAATCCACTTCCTTATTCTCGGTAACTGAGCTCGGCCAGGTAGATTCATGGCCTGACTCCTTTTTGGCAGACAGTAGTGCTGCCTATAATCAAAACGGTTACTATCCACCATTGCTCGAGGAAGATTTTTTCTATCCCGAGTTTAGTTATGGTGGGTTATCAAACTCGGGAGACGCTTCTTATTCGAATGTGGAATCCGATTATTGGAGCGAACCATTATTCGAGTCGAATGTGTCGAGTTTGCAAAGTCAAAGTAGCTATAGCTATTTTCCACAAGAGGAAGTGGGAGGGGATTATGAACCTTTGTTTGACTACTTCGATCATGGGATCAATTTGTTTAGCTAGAAGTTTGACTTAAGGAAAATAGGGTTTATAGTTTGAGGGAAAAAAAGGTCTATGTGCATATCAATTCAAGATGAGATATTTCAAATTTTTCAATGAAGAGTGTATATTTATACACTATAAAACTAGAATAAATCATGTTTATGTTTGAACATATTTTGAGAAAATAACTACTTACATCGCTCACAAGATAAAATTAAGTTTTTTTCACACTCACTCTTGATTGATGATATATCTATTAACTTCTTCATCAGAAAATGTGCGAAGATAGTAGATATTGTGCGGTAAATATGCGATAATCATTCTATAACATTGTGTCGTTTCTCTTGTGACGTGAAAGTTCGAGACTTATTGTTTTAACACACAAGTACCGCATATATAAGCATTTTGGTCGGATATGTCAGCTCATAGTTGACTGAAAAAAGGTTAGGAGACAAATTTGCAAGAAATCATGAAAGTAGAGTATTTTGTTGCAACAAAAATATTGAGTTTTATTTGTAATTTCACAAAAGGTCATGATTTGGTTATGAGATCTTTTTCGGAAAAAAAAAAATAAAATTAGAAAGAGTATCTCATCCTAAAATAGAGATAAAAAAGTGAAAAAATATATTTTTTTTTTAAAAAATAAGATAGATATGAGATAAATGTAATAATTAAAGTGGACATGAAATAAAATAATAGAAACTTGATTAATAGTGATTATTTTTAATATAATATATATATATATCTATTTTTTTTTTTTTAATTTGCAAGGAAATTCTAGAGAATAGAAGTGAAATGAGATAAAAATGAGATAAGACTTAATTAGTACTTCTTATATTGTATATCTCAACTAGATAAATTTCTGATGCATTTCTAATTGAGCCCTAAAATTGTAGTTCTTAAAAACAAAAGAGTATTTCTTAGTTCTTACTTGTGGGCCAAAAGTGCAAATCCAATACCCAAGAGCGCTTGGATGAGATGGTTTGGGTCTCTTTCAGCTTAACTAGTGGTCTCGAGTTCGAGCTCTGGGAATGCAGCAGTGTTAAAACTCTTGAAGGAGAGCTTTGCCGCCCTTGTGGTCCTACCCGGCTCGATTCCGGATTAGTCGATTCTAATGTGGATCCAGAAACCGGAAGATCCCTTTACCGAAAAAAAAAAGTGCAAATCCAATTATGCTGCAAAAGTGCAAACGCATAAACAACTAAAATCGCAGAAAACGATAGCACGCTTTTTCAACAGCAAATTAGAATTAATCATCCAAACCTAAACCAATTAAGACATTAATAGATTTTGTCCGAAACTAACCTTAAATTTAACGGAGTAATGCTCCCCTACCCACGGTGGGCACATGTTAATACGCCCACTGATTATGTGGCATTCACACACTGGTGATGTATTTTTTTGAACATATTAACATTACTAATGTTGCATGCCACAAAAGCGATGACCATATTAACATGTACCCACCGTGGGTAGGTAAACATTATTGAAATTTAACAATGAAAACACACACACACACACACCTCATCTTCCTCAAATAAGCCCCCTTTTTTATACACATTGTCTATCTATCATTTTCCAGGTAAGCCAAATTTTCACCAGCATTTTTATTTGCTTTTCGAGCTTGAAATCGAAGAGCTCAAAGCGTGCACGTCCAGCACGTTAACCGGTGTGCAGGAGCTCGATGTCCGGGCCCACAACGACTCGTAACCTTCACTTGCTACTTCTTGTATTTGTTCATAACACAGCAGAAAATCCTCCTGTACAATAAATTAAAAACCATTCTATTCAGTAAAACAACAATAGGTATAACGAAAAATCGGGACCAAACATACTGGAATTAATAAAAATTAAATATCAGAAATAGTATTAGATTTGTTGTGATTTGTTATAATACCTTATCTACATAAGAACAGCTGCCAACAGCATTTCTAAAGGATGAGAACTGAACTGGGGACAGATCATTAACGGCACACAGAAGGGCCGAAGCTGAGATAATTGACGGCTTGAACTTGAGCATTTCGACGTCTACAAAAGCGACTAAATTTTCCGTAAAAAGAGAATAACCGGTGAATTATTATGAAGAACGACACACGAACGAACCGTTTTGCGCTTTCAAGATAATCTCGGTGGCCCTTTGCTTCAATTGCTCGACAGGAGGCTTATCGTTGGACCTGAAGAATGTAATGAAATAGTTCAAAAAACAAAATGGATTTGCAGATCTCATGCGCCATTTTAAAGCTCCGAGAATAAGCATTTCCATCCGTTGGATCGTGGCCGAATCAAACATGAAGCCTCCATCTTGCTGCCAAAACCCCATAAGAAAAAAAGTAAAAATAAATGACCAAATAAGTAAAAAAAACAACAAGAGAACAAAAACACTAAAGTCAAGAAAGTTTACCATAAGGTCAGAAACAGAGAACTCTGTTTTCCTCATTTTCAGTGCTAACGAGACGCAAGCAATTGCCACTAGCCGAAAAATCCACAGTTTTCCATCCTGGAAAACCGAAGATTCGATTAAACCACAAGCATCAATTTACCTTAAATCCAACAAAAACAAAATAATAAAAAGAAAAGAAAAAAGATCTTGAAATACAATGGGTGTGGAGCGAACGAGTATGGCCACATTCTTGATTATTTCTGCGAGTTTACGTTCAAAAAGGATGAAAAACACCGAAACAAACAGAATAAAGATCAAACATACCTGTATCGAACGAGTTGAAAGAAATCGGTCCATGTAGTTAACAGCAAGATACGTCAAAAACGGGTTGAATTGACTCGAAAAACGAGAGATTGAGTCCACGATTTCACGGCGAACAGAGAGGTTAGAAGAACCTTGTGAGGTGAAGGCCTGAGAATAAGTCTTGGAGGGCATTTGATCAATCTCCATTTTAAACAGTGAGGGGAAGTTTTCATTGGAAGGTGGCAGAGGGTCATCAAGATCAAACTCCATTGACAGCAAAACCAAAAGAAGAAAAAGGAAAAAAATGAAAAGAAAAAAAAAATAAAAGAAAAGAAAAGCTTATTCTCAGGCTGGTTTTCTTGCTTTTTTGCTTATTCTCCTCAGCTTAATATATGATTCATGGCTTGGCTTGTTTTTTAGGGGGGCCCAAGTGGGGGTGGAAGTAAATGATAATGAGAGAAAAAAAGATGTGAATTGATTGTCCTATTTATAATTGAAACTTTAGAGAGAGAGAGAGAGAGAGAGAGAGAGAGAGAGAGAGAGAGAGAGAGAGAGAGTTCAACTTCACTCTTAGGCTGTCTTTCTCTTTTTAAAAATTCTTCTGACTTTTGTATACAAATTTTCCACGTGGATTTTTCACCGTTGGATCATATGTGTTTGAACATATACATGGGTTTGTACTGATCTGACTGTAAAAGAAATTGCGGGTGGGCACTGCCAACAAGTATAGGCACGAAATTTCCGATGCGAGGATTGTTGGATGATCATGAAAATTTATATGGATTTGGGAGAGTTTCAATTTTCTCTATGGCATTCATTTGGAGATTAGAGTAGGATATTGAATTGGTTTTAAAGAGTAAGAAATTTGAATTGGACATGTTCAGGAATTGCTTTCAACTCTTTTTGCCACGAGTTAGATTTTCCAAACACAACCTTGTCATGGGGTTAGCCGGACACAATTTTTGGTCAAATATTGAGAAAAACTTTTATAAACACCCGATGATTGGGAAATAAGAGCCATTTTCCCTTGCCTTGAGCCAGTTCCAGTCATGGATGATGCTCTGGTTAGGCGGTTGTGTAATTAGAGGTTTGATGTAATTGACCTGAAATGTTCCGTCTCCCTCGCTCTGAATATCACTGCAAACGATGTCCAAAGATACAAACAAGATTGAAATCCCTTCAAATTCTTTAAAGGCAATTCTTACAAATGAGATACAACAAATTTGTACTAATAAAAATTCTATTTATTTCTTTTTTTCATGGCAATTGACAGCTTTGTTTTATGTCCTCAAATGTGGGAGATATAGTTTATATATATGCTTGAGTTGAAATTGGGTCCATAAAACTATATTGCTTGTGTTGGTTTTTAGTGGGGAACATGAAATTGTCAAAGCCACAAAAGATGACTTGCGATCAGTTTGGAAAGTCTTACATAAAAAACTACACACATATATCTATCTAATTGATTATTTCAAGTTTTTGTTTGACTGCAAATGCCAATGAAGTAAACTTTTTTACTTAGGACACAAAACTAAAGTAGGATATAGAGTCATATGTAACTACAAAAGGTAAATGACAAAAAATTTCGGGTTTGTTTGGTTAGAGATTTCGTTTGATAAACCATTATTTTATTGGTGCATGTTTGGATTATTATAAATTCGGGAAATGTTACAGTCCGTTACCGAACTATTTCGTCGGGATTTATAACCGTTAAATCATCATGTAACCGTCATTGATAGTTAATCTAATGGTTACAAATCTTGACGGAATGATACTATAACGAGACCGTGGAATCTCCATGTACATTCTTAATAATGTAGGGTTATTTAATAATTCAAGACGAAATTCCTCACCCAACTCACCTAGGAATGAAAGTCAACCATATTTGAATGTAAATAGCAGGCTCATCAGGTCACTTGGATTAGATGGGCCAAAGAATTCAGTTATAGTTGGGCTAGAAAATTAAGGTCCAGCCCAAAGTCCAAACACGAGGGGGTTTCACACAATTCTAGCAAGCATTGGCATTTGTCATTTTAAATATATTGAACTATGTTATGAAATACGGGGAATATAAAGAACACAATGTATAGAAACCGGAACAAATTATAAACTGCTTTCTTTTCACTCTTCCGCTTACTCAAAAATGTGCACACAAATGTACTACAATTGTTGCCTTTTTATAGGCAAACATGGCACATTCTTCAATAC